AACAGGGAGCTTTGCCCCTGTAACCCTACTTTTTTGAGGGGAGGCTCTTTCCCCCCACAAAATCTTCACCTCCAGTCTTCGGGTCACTGGAATTGCCGGGGTCTTCCAGGTCATTGTTGGTTGGAATCAAGATTTCTAGCCGCTGTTCCTTATTGGACAGTGGAGGGTTCAGTTTTGCGGCCTTGATACAGTACACTGTGATTTCATAGGTTTAATAAACTTTCTTTGTTATTTTGATGACATTTTGCTTTGAAACCCGACCATGATGGAAGTAATTTTAATTTCAACTGCCTTCTCCTAGGCCCAGCGTCTATTGTCACATGATGGTCTATTTCGTATCTGATTGGTTCTATTGTGCTGGATGTCAGTGCCTCTGATCGTGTCATGCTCACGCGCAAATCTGATTGGCTCATTCGATTTCCCTCGCATACATCATATGCTACAAATCTGTCCAATTTTCCAACGCTTAAAACAACTTTTTGTTATTTCGTTGTGGTGCTGGGGTTGTAAAGTTGCTGAGTTTCCTGGATTTTAAACCTTTATTACCGTTATTATCAATATGTGAAGAAAATGATATAGAAGAAAACTTTCATAGAATTATGTGTTCTATTACTTGGTAAACTCAGATTCTGTATTTAGGGTGTTAGGCATTATTTCCAATAATACCAAAGAAATTTGGTATTTTAAAGTCTGAAGAGGCTGAAGTTGCATTTTTGATTAATATTTGGTAAGGGTTTCATACAGCCATCTTTTATAAGGCAAATGATATATATGGAAAAGACAGAGCAAATGAATCTAAGAAACTTATCTATTGTGTACTTTTGTCAAGTGTGAGAGAGCTTTAAAATATTCCCCTCAGGTTAGACATGTTTTTCTGAGTGTGATTGATGTGAATTGAACAATTCTGGTAATCATCGGTAAGGAAATTTTTTGTTTCACACAGCAATCCACCTTTGTAATTGTAGTATACTTTCACTTCTGGTAGAAGGTAAACCTTGCCTGCATTGGAAATAATGGATGAAACTAAAATACCTCTTATCTCTGATATTTCCTTTGCAAGTTAATAATAAGTGAGTTGTGCAGCACCTAATACTTTGGTGTACATTTACAGGTGAATGTAATGACACTATCATAAGCAAAGGAAGAAACTGCACTCACTGATACATGAAATAATCTGAGTAGCCAAAAATAACACTAGAAATGAAGAAAATAAGCTCCGACTAATCCTGTGTGGAGAATAAGCCCATGGCAGTTGGGTAGGGGTCGGGAGCAGAGCACCTGATAGGGAAATGCTACAATTAGATAGGGTTTGTGGACAAGTTCCTGGGTTGGGAAGGTTTTTGATTCACATGGCGATGTTTGTGGATTTTCCAGGAGTGGCCGAAGAAAAAGGGAGTTGGTCTCAGAGAGGTGCAGCGTTTCATACACAATACAAATACTTTCATTAAATCATTTGCGATGGAAAATAACAAAAGATTCATGCACATTACAATGTGAATCATTGAAACAAGGATTAATGATTGCAAGGTTGGGTGGCTGTGCAAAACTAAAATTTTTAAATTTTTATTATATTTATCATCTTGCTTATTATTACTTGCAACTGTTTTTGTAAGGGATCAGATAAATGTATTTGGGAAGGTGGATTTTGCAGGAGTCAAAAAAGCTTGTGATTATTTATTGAAAATTTAACAAAACCGAAGAATGTAGAACAATTAAAAATTATTTATGCTGTGTTTTATCCAAATTGTAAAGTCCACCTGTAATGGCACAATTTCAGACGATCTTCAGATGATCTACATCTAGTGGGGCTATGGCAGATATTAATAAACCTCCACCATTTATGTTTTAGCAAGATAAAGTTTGCATTGCTAGGTTTTTGGATGTCACAGCAAATATGTCACAGCAAAAATAAACATCTTGAGAAAATGAGGTCCTCTTATTCAGCAGTTTTTCACAGTTTGGGGAACGTGTGCCTGTGAATACTTTTCTGGTAAAAACAAAGTATTTTATGAGGTAATTTGTGTGTCTCAGTTGTATTGCTGATGTCAGTTTGTTACTACTATCAGGAAATTTCCTCTTTCTTACTTTTAATTATGTAATGATATTTCAGAGGAAATTATTAGGCGTCGGTTGATGATTGACGGAGATGGGACTGGAGATGCTCGTGTGATGATGATGTTTATGAAGTCCTTTATCAAGTGGTGCTCTACAGATGATTCTCCACAGGAATGGTAAGGTTATCTTTTTGCTCCTTGTGAGAATCCAGAACTCTTCTGTCTGTATATGATTTGTTGTATTAAACTAATGGATTTGGGTGCCTCTGCCTGCATGTGGCCCAAGATCTGGGCATTAGGCTTACTTGAGCAGTGACTCTCCCAGGTGTGTGGCTTGTAGGCCTGTTGAGCTACAATTATTCAAATAGGGCTTGTCACAGTATTGGAATGTGTGAAGCTGAAACACCAGCCGGTTCATCAATTGATATTTTGATTATTGTGATGGAGTTATGAAGCCAAATAGTTGCAAGTAATTCTTCACAGCAATGATTGCAATTATTGGCAGAGCTTGTGTAAAGAGAGATGAAAAATTTATGCCAAAGTTAGTATTACTGAATTACTGATAAAAATGTGGTACTAATGGTCCTAGTATACAGAAATTTGATAAAGATGATAGAACTAGAAAGGCAGCAAAAGACTGCTCAAGTTTATCTTTTCTGATTGTATTCCATTCCATTTTACAGCCAGAACCAGTTTGACCGTCTCCTAACACAGCTAGCGTCCATAGAACATTCTTCACTTAAATGGAAGGCAATCGTTGGCATGAATCAGGAGGAGATAAAACATTATGAACTGCTAAGGTGAGCAATATAACTTGTGTTGTGTGAAAAGGTATGTAACGTACTAGAAAACTTATTGAAGTTATACATGTAGAAATGATGCTAGTGAAGTGGATGTGAGATATAACTGTGTCATAGAGCTCTAAAGAAGAAAATTGTGAAAGGGTGCAGTGACTTTAATTCTGCCATGATAACCATTTGTTGTGTAGTGAAAATAATTGAGAACTGATATAAAAGTAATTGAAAATATTGGAAAAGTAAATGCATATGGGCTGCCTAAACCACTGAATTGGCTAAAGTATGAGCTTGTTATCTGTATATTGCTGTTTGTGAAGTTCTGCAGTACTTATTTGATGATTTAGGTTTTGTATAAAACTGTGAATAAATAAGTTTTCATATGACTTTGGGAAACTGCATCATGGACATGTGTCATGAAGAACATACTCAAAGTAGCATAGAATATCAACATGGTAATACTTAGGTTTAGGCAAAAAAATTGACCATCAAATACTTGTTACACCTGTCTGCAGTAGATTAATGAGCATAATTCTTTTTCAGAGATGAAACCAGCAGAAGTGTTGAAGATGCCTATGTAGCTATTGGTATTGCCAAACAAGAATTAGAAGAAGCCAGGCAGGTACGACGGAACAGGCTAGAGTACGATGCTTTGGCAAGACTAATCAAGGAACACCCACCACGTTCAGACACCGCTAATAAATTGGCACACCTTACACAGCACCTGCATTCTCTCAAGGTAAGATTATAGTTTTGAAAATATTGTTAGTGGCATTATGATTAGAATGATAACCTCTTGGCACTGGGAAGTTGTGCTGTCCATTGTGATTTTTTCTTTGCAAGTACTTAATCACTAAGAAATAAGAAATAATATCTTTCCAAAAATCAAGGAAAAGGGTAAACAGGTAAGAATAGTTACGACAAGTAATTGACTCCATGGTGACTAGACTCTTGTGGTGCTTTCTGTCTGTAAGCAAAATTGATTAATTAAAATCACAGTGGACGTAGCATGTATTTGTTGTCATCCCAGTTCAGGGTGTTCAGTGCAAAGTTTCTCCACTTCATTATTTTCCATATTTCTAGGCTTCTCTGAAGGTCTTGTTGAAAGTGGTTAAAAACAGCAGCTTTAGTTTTTATTTACAGCCAATGATTTATCCTAAGGGAAATTCTACAGGGGATACATGGTATTTATTTTTATTTACACACCTAGGAATACAGACAGATTTGGGTTACCAGTTTTGGACTAACTGATGAGTTAATTATATGAATGGCATGCCTTAACCCATTCACGCCGGGTGTCCCGTATACGTGACGGGCTCACTGCGAGTTTACTTGTTTAATTGTTTACAAACATAGATGGCTCCACTTGCACTTGTACTGCCTGTCTCGTCTGTTTACCCTTTTCTTTAATTTACGAAATTATTTTGCGTTATCTTATTTTGCTGTTACTAATGTTTATAACATTATAGTAATTATAAAGTTTATAATGAAAATAACCATCGATATTCATAGCACTAGTAAAAATACAGTTTCCCGCCAAATGAAATCAGGTAAAGCAGAGCCATCTAGTGTAGAGAAATTTCATTAAAAAATATAAAAAATGAGCACAGCATTTTCCCCATTTTTTGTTCATTTTTTACCCGGCGCGAATGGGTTAAAGCTATTATACACTTATGCTCATACTAATGAAAATTCCACAGCTGTGTTGACTCCAGTCCACTAGTTTGCATTGGATCACAGTGCCATTGATATTCAGCCAGTTAAAATTGCAAGATCCATATATATGGACTTGCTTTTACACAGAATTAAATGTGTCTATCAATTTATCTATCTGTCTGCATAGTTGTCTGCCTATATATACATAAATGTGCTTACTTCTGTGTATATGCAAGCCTGTATATATGTATATTCACTGGGTCAGGAGTCTCATAGTATTAACAAACCAGACACTTGTGTGTGAATTTGCATTTGGATTATGAAATTTTTGTATTGATACATGTAAATTTACCCTAAAGCTATCAGAGAAAAGAAGAATGATCATAATTAAAAGGAAAGTGGAAATAATGAAGTGACAGTATAAAGTTGGTAAGCCATCATTTATTTATAGTTACTTATATTTAGAAATTGTAGCTACCTGTTCTGACTAGAAGTAAAGATAAAACTGTAACATACAGTGAATATAGGGAATTGTAGGGCTGTTCAACAAAATTCCCATGCATATGTATCTTTTCTTAACCCAAGGACAACAATGCCGTATCAGCTGTTTGATGGAAAAATCAGAAGCTTGTGAAATGTAAAATTACCCACCTTTCTATGCTCTTGGTTGCAGTATAAGCAATATTTTAGGCAATGAGACTAAAATGAGGCTTTAAGCCTATTTTGATGGGGGTATTTCTCCTCAGTGAATCCAGCCAAACAAATTCACAACTATTTAGCATGTCCAACTTAGAGCAGGCTTGATGGGCATGACAAAAAGATATCATCCAAGCATTAGAGGTGTGATGTGATGGGACATCCTATAGTGTAATTGGGTTAGTTTGCACAAAATAATTGTTTACAGGGAATTTTATATGTCATTAGTATACACAGTTCTCAGGATAAAAACCCATGAAGCAGTGAATCTCCCTCTTAATCCAAGGAGAGGCTCTATAGCTTTTTTTTAACTGTATTTAGTATTATTGTTAGTATTTTGTTGTTTATTTTATTTGTTTATTTATTTTTTGTTGTTTTTACCTGTGCATTTGGTTGTTTTGTTATTGCAGTAAAAGAATGAAAATGGAATATAGCACTTAGCTTGAGTAGTTTCTTTGGGATGTTTATTATTAGTGTTAATTAGTGTTAATGGTTTATGATATCAGAAGTTGTTTTTATCAGGAAAATTTGTAAGATCTTGAGAAATGAGTACAGTTCTTTGCAACACCCTAGTACTCACCCATGATGAATACTTTATGATGCATTTTTCTTGTTCATAAGTCTGGGACTTTTTCAAATCCATTAAGCATTAACCCTTTGCCTCTAGATGCCATTCCACAGTGATAGTATGTCATACCATCATTTTCTCATAACACCAACATCTTGTAGCTTTTCTATCCTGTGAACTTTTCACTGTGATGGAAGGAGGCTTTTGCAGGAATCTAGGCTGAAATTTAGCAGTACCTAAGCCTTTAAGGTATTTCAGCCTGCCTGGAGATATTAGGTTAAGCATTAATTCTGAAATAGTTATTGAGACAGCTGACATTAGTAATCCAGTATACTGATCAGTTTACTGGATACTGTCAATAAGACAGTGATTCTGGATGTGGGCTGCGTGCTCAGTGGGGGATAGGGGAGTCAATATGAATATATTTAGGGTGGAGAATTATAAAGGCTAGAATGCAATAAAATTTTAGCATTTGTATGTAAAGACCAAAAACATTACATAATCAAGGTTGAGTTTCCTATTATTTGAATTGGGTTCAGTAAAACAAAGACCTTGTGAAGTGTAAAAGTGAGCCGAAGATTTCTGTTGTTCATGAAGAATGTTGTATTTTTACCTTATATGGAACAAAGTGATGTAAAAGGCCAGAACACAAATTACATTGAATCTGTAAAAAAATATAGATATGTATCAAAGATACTTTGAAACTGTGAACTCTTACTTTTAGGAAACTGATGTTAAATCATTGCAATGTTTTAAGTGAATCTGATTTGAAGCTGAAAAGATTTCTAGATTTTTGCATTGACCTTGTTAATTGGATATAGATAACTTGTTCATTTTCAAGATTCATGTGAAAAAGAAGATGATGTTTTTTAAAAAAATCCTATAGTAGCCAAATGCAGCGTAGAATGGTATGCAGACAATGTATTGTTGATCAACTTCCCTAGGCTTGACTTTACAAAAGTCAACTTTTTTGTTGTTATTGTTTGAGAGAATGTGAAATAAGCAGTAGAGATATTTAAGGTGTCTTTTGTCTTCTTTAGGCATTTGTGCTCTGTGCAGTGTGGTGCAATGGGCAACCAATTTTTGTTTTGTTTTGTGCCCATGCATGACATGGTTTGTTTGGTGTAGTTCTTGGTTATATGTTTTTTATAGGTACAGGTTAGTAGGCAGACATACAAAGTTAAGGAAATTGTTTTGTATCTTTTTGGTGTCTGTGTGAAGCAGGTAGTATTTGTGTACAATTATCATGTCGTGGCATAGGCATATTCAATAATATGTTGAACTGTTTTTCTCTTGTGTAAGGGTATTGCTGTGAGGGGAAAACTTATCTTTGTAAGTGATCTGTCAGTGTTTTTTGTATGAATTTTGTAGATATCAGCATCATCATTTATTTATTTATTATTATTATTTTTTTTAAACTTAAAAAGCTGTTTTGTGGTATCTTAAGAAACATTATTTTTGGGACTTATTGACTTAAATAACTATTCTTCCAGAAAAAAAATGTGAACCAATTTAATTACAAAAATAAAAGATGTAGCCAACAAGGATCACTCTGGATTCATATACATCACCAGTCCCTTTATATTGGAGAGCTGAGAGTAGTTTTATTTCTTTAAAGTACTGCATAAGCATTTTATAAAAGGAAAGTAGAAAAAACTCATTAAAATTGTGTCTTCCATATTTGCTTACTCTGCTATTCTGATTATGAAAATAAAATAAAATATAAGGTACT